TATTGAGTAGAGTAAATTATCCATCACATGATCGATAAAACTTAACAGTATATAATTTCAGAATATGTGATCCAAGAGATGATCGGATAAAAGCTTAACAGTTATTTAGAGAAACTTACAATTTGTCTGATGGCTTATCAAAAACCTTGTCAATTAAATGGTCGATAAATACATTTATCAATAACGTTATCCAAAAACCATTTATCCAACAAGTTATTGATAAAACATTAATAATGCATATGAAGATAAAAGAGAAGAATTGAAAGGATAGTACTAGTAACTAGATAAAGTGATCGAGTATGTAGTTGTTTGATCAGGCTCGAGTAACATCTGATAATGGCTTTTATTTTCTCATTTCTTCTAGTGCTTTTACTCAATAACATGTTTAAGTAGTATGTTGCTCGAGAGTTTAATCAATCAATATAGAACTTTTGGTCTGCCTCAATAAATTCAAATTTTGATTCGAGCAAAACGAAGGTCAACTTTGAGTGATCATGAATCTTCCAATTCAACTCCAAATTTTGCAAATGACCTTACCCCAGAAAGCTCTTTGAGTCTATTTTCTAATGCAACAAGAACCACCTCAAAAATCATTGTAGTTGCAAATTTATCTTCATCACAGTGGCTAAAGGTTGGAATAAAGGTGTTAATCCTTACTGCAATGTTTCAAACAACATATCTCCCTCATATGAAACTCTTTGAAGTTGATTTTGGTGTCCATGAACCGTGTTCTGAGTCTAGTTTCATATGAATTAAGTTTCACCTTAAACGGATTTGTGGTTTAAGAGATATTAGAGAAATACCGAACATATGTTAGAGCTGAATGAAGAACAGAGCATAAGAGAGTATGTGTTTGCTCAATAAATTGATCGATAAGTGTCTGATCGAGTTGTTGATCGATCAATGCCCATAAAAATCATCTCTGAAGCTTATTTTCAATGTTTATATGAAGGGTGACTCAATATATGATCATATAACTTCTGGTTTGTGCATTTTAGCTTCCGATTGAGCCATTCAAACTTCTAATTGAGCATAACAACCTTCAACATCAAATCTATGACTTTGAATCTTGATATTTCTATTTGATCTTGTAAGTTCTTCTTTTCTCAATCTCTCTTCTTCTTCTTCCTCTTGATCATTCTCTATAACTCAAAGTTCAACATAATAACTCCTTTCTTTTCTTGAGAAAACTACACAAGGTATTAAGTACAATAGTTAGTCAAAATATGAGATAAATAATTTATGCAAACTTTTTGCTCTATTATTTGATATCATCAAAACTAATTATCATATCTAACACATGATAATCATACAATATATTAGGACCACTAGATTACATAAAGTTCGAGACTAGCTCTCTTGAACTTAACCTCTTTCTCTTAATTTTTGGATTAATGTTTTAACTTAGTAAAAATTGTTCTCTTAGGCTAATCCTACATAATTTTACCCAAGGAATCCAAGTATCTACTTAGATTTATGAAAATCTAATCCTTTCCTATAGATCTCATTTTGGCCGAATAGGGTGTCTTGGAAAACCAAATTTCCATTTTCAAATTTAATGCTTCCAAGCTTCCTTTCTTGGTGTTTCCATACACCATTTCATCATCTAAACACATTAGAAGCATCAAATAGAAATCAAATCCAACTCTAATCCCATTCTTTCTCCCTGGCCGAATTGAATCATCATGAATAGGGGTTGGATTTTCTTTCCAAAACTCACTCAAAACTAATCAAAACCTATCCTTTTCAAGTGTGTAATCTATACTTTAAACCCTTGATTAAATCCTTCCATAACTTTTGAAAATTTGGCAGCATCTCCCCATGAAAAATGGCCATCCAAAACTACATAAAATCATATTTAAACAGCCCACAATAATTAACAAAGAGCCTAGGAGCTTACCTGTGGTTCCTTGTTTGGCTGAAATGTGAGTGGTCTTGGTGGCTATTTATAAGCCAAGCATTAACTAAATGCCATCAAAGTTCAAAAGAATTACAATGCTTAGGTGTCAAGCTAAGCTTCCTTCTTGAATTTCCTCTTTCTTAATTTAATTCCAAATGAAATGAATTTTAGAAGTCAAAATCCTCTCCACCTCTAGCTTGACAAGTGACACAATGAGAGCCAAGGAAAAATGAGTGTACTTCTCACCTTTTTTAGCACCATTTTGATACTAAATTAGCTCTGTCTTTTTCTATATCAGTGATAAGAGCTTCCTAATTAATTTCTGTCAGATCCTTAACATTTGCTTATCAATTTTCTCTTCCTAAAGAGCCCTCCTTTACTCCCATAATGAATTTATAGCATTAAAAGAAAAGAAAACCAATTTCTTTACTATTTTAGTTTTCTTGCTCGGGAGTTACTTTTTCAGGTCTTTAGGTTCTTTAAAACTTTTCTGATTATTTCATAACCTCTTATAAATCCCATAGGAGTTCTATAAATTTTCTTGGGATTTATCTAGTCTCATAAGTATTTATTTGGAATTTTCTCAAATAAAACCCCAATTAACATAATTGGATTTTAAATTCCTTTAAAGATTTACCAGGGGTATTTTGGGAATAAAATCACTTGTACAATGTCTTATAATTCTCAAGACACTTTGTCCTTATTTTTTCTTAATTTTCTAAGACTCAAAACTATTTTCATAATTAATTTTTGACTAACTTTCCTAATTACGCAATATTCAATAATTACTAAAAATTCAATAATTATTTCCTTCTATCATAATTTCATCCTTTCAGCCTCGAATACTGTCTAGGGACCTTTTCTCTATCTTACATAATTATTTGCCAAATTTTGAGAATTTCTAACATATTTTTCCAAACTTTCATATTTCCTTCCACTACTATGACCCTTAAATGTCCATAGATTTCCTTACTCGTAGTTGTAAAATTTCTGAACGTGATAGGAATTGATAAATGGAGAGAGACACGAGTATTATGACGTTTTTAATAGACAAGAATACCGGGAAGGTCATACTTGTGATGAGGTAGTTGAAGACACTCAAACATCCATATGTATTATAGAGTAACCTTGATCCTTACTCCGTTTTCATCATACTTTAGCTATTTTTTAAAATAAAGTTTCAGTATCATTCCATGTTATCCAATTGTTTGGAAGTTTCAACATTTTAATGTGTGAGTACCATAAAATTGTTTAGCTTGAGATATTGATTTTTTGTATTTATAATTTAATTTTGTATTATAATATTCCTTTCAATAGATTGCATAATTTTTGAAGTTTTGTCTTGCATAATTGAATATAATGCTATCAAAGTGCATTTAGCATACATTTAAAGTTTTGGTTTGCAACCCTAGGCTACTATTGTAGTTCTTCCCTATAGTTCTTTTGTCTTCATAAAATATTTCTTGAATATGGATATTTTGATATTGTTTTGGTAGTTTTATATTATCTTAAGTTTATATTGTCAGTTCTTGATTTAGAATCTCTTTTTGATTTTTATGAGAATTGCTTATTTGCATGCTATAGTGGTAAACTCTCTTGGGATGAGGTGACTAAGCTTGAAGTTATTCCATGGCAACACTTTCAACTTATAGGAATACATCTTTGTATTGTTTTCAAAATATTTTAATTCAGCAACTATTTTGTCTCTATTAATTTTTCTTATATTAAATAGCCTACTTTTACAATACGGAATAAGGTATCATATTTGTCCAATATATAATTATTGACCATGACATTATCCATGTAATTATTGAATATAATCAAATATTTAAGTTCCAATCCATTAACCTTTTTGTCTCCATTAATTCAATCTTCTGAAAGGAACATCCATTTATATACATACATAGCATATTTTTAAAAGTGTTGATAACGGATCTAGATATATTGCATATTTCAAAAGCTTGTGGATACTTTATTTTTAAATTAAGTTGAAATCATGACTTGAAATAGAAATGTAATGTTCAACTAATTATATTTGTAGCGATTCAACTTTTTATCTTTTATTAAAAAAACCACCAATTCAATGCACCGTAAAAAGTTTTATATAAAATTATAAGTTTTTTTTTTTTCAAAGAGTAGTTTCCATATAAATGATTAAAAATAGTATTTTAAACAAATTAATGCGCATTTTTATAAGTTATTTAATCTTTTAACCACTATAAATTTGTTATCTAGTTTCTACATTAAAGTCTGAGTGGATCAGATTTCTTTTTTTTTTTTTTAACTATCAAAAGCACCATACTAATTAATGGAACGAGGTTTGCCACAACAAATTAAATAGTTTGATATCCATATCGTCCCATTTCCTTCCTGATTTTGGCCTCCACTCACGAGGAACCAGGCGGGGAAAAAAAAACAGTGAAAAAATTAAAATGAAAGCACTCTTGAAACTTTTGTTGATAAATCAGTATGCCTTCGAGCAAGATATAATCTCAGAAACCACTAAAGTGGCTGAATAAAATATATTCAGAAATGGCATATTGTGGAGAAATGGAAGGAGAATCACAGCTCCAACAAAATATAAGAATTAATGTCCATTTCATTTTTTCAAAGGGCACAACAGTTCAGGTTTAGTATGAGGCCAGCACAGCAAATTATCTCAAATGCACAGTCTCTTTATAAGATGAAGTTGATTCTTGGTGCCTAAATAGCTTGGTTCTTTTCTTTTGTGATTTTTGTTCTTCTTTTCCTTAGGCAAAGAGGTTATTTTTCATTCTCGCAATCCATTTCATTCCACATTCTATTATATTGCGTTTCATTGTATGTGCCAATCAAGCATATATGCCTAGTGATGAAAATCCTCTCCCCAATATAACTAAATTCTCAATTAGTAAATACCGATACACCTAACATGAATCTTTACATGATGTACTAAAATAGGCAAGCTGCATATCTACTCTAAAAGCCTTGGGCATTTTGCATCAGTTAAATTCGTTAAAACTTGTGTCATATTGCCATATAGCTTATCTAGAATTGAAATCAAGCAACACGTTCATGGAAGCAGGGTTTAGGGGTCATTCTCCAATGCGGCAGGCTAAATTTAGGAGCCGTGGCTACACCTAGGTCTCTTTAATTCATCAAGCATTCTCTCAAGCTTGCTAATTCTATTTTCAAGATCCATTATTCTTTTATCATCCATAATCCTAGTGGATTCTCCATCAGCCCGAGATGGATGTACCTTGTGATGAGCCATACTTAATTCTTGGATCCCATTTCCATGTCCCGTAGCATCTTCTAGATCTCGAACAGAAGTTTCACATTCAACTGTTGGAAAGGACTTCATCCCCAAGTCTCTTTTTCTCATGGTTCCATTATCAGCACTTGAAACAAAACAGCTGATGCCATTGTCTCTTTTTGCATCTCTCGTTGCTCTCTTTGGTCCCCCAACCACATTCACATTCTCAATCTTTTCCAACATTGCAACCTTCATGGCCATTAAGTCATCAGTTTTATGAGTTGCAACTGGAGATGAAAGAACACCATTTTGATCAGTTTCATCATTTCTAAAAGTTCTATGACCATTATTCCTATGTAGTGCGCTGAAACATTTGGCAGAAAACCCAAGGGGAACATCAGTATCAGCATCCTTCTTCTTTCGTGACATTGGACTCCTCTTTCCCTGCACCAGCTTACTAAATGGATCTTGATAACCTAACACTGATTTCTCCCACCACTCAACATAACGAATGGTAACATCTGCCTCAAAAAGCCGTGATGCTATGTATATTTTCCTATCCATCATTGGCCTAATGTAATTAAACCAACCAATTTCAGGAGTATCGTTGCTTCGAGTCACAAAGCCAGGAATGTCTTGATCCATCCCAAATTGCAGAGCTACTCTGTGTGGGAGGTATTGTTCTATACAGTCATCAAGTCCAACCAGCTCAGAAACTCTCATGCATATAATAAAAGACTCTATTTCTTCTTCCAATGTATGATCAAGCAGTACCCAAAATGAATTTTCTGCATAAAATTTTTTCCTATTACTTCCAAATCTAGCATATGGCCTCCATATAAATTCTTCCTTCGCAGAGTCTAGAACTAACCTCACGTTGTCAGCTTCCAAAGCCTTAACTCCGTGCCACCTGCCTAAGATTGTGCCGCAAGTGTTCATAACCTTGGGCTTTGGTTGCAAAACATGAATTCTCTCCCATACCCAAATTTGAACCAAGTAAAATGGTGATTGAAGAACGAGTTCATGGTGCTTTTTATGACCACCTACTGGACTTTTTGTCAAGTCAAAAATGGCTTGTTTCAACAGACTCAAATCTTTGTATATGCTAGCCAGAACCGCAGGCGCTAAAGCTACAGCATTCCCTCTAGCAAGATGAATGGCAATTGGGAACACAATACTCCTTATATGTAAGGATCTCCCTGGAAATACAAACACGGAAAGCCATGTAGCAAGAAATGCCTCATGCTCAATTTCCCTCTCACTGTTCATGAAAGCATTCATCCATCTAGATGGACAAGCCTTATTACGACTGCCTTTAATAATTTCCTTACGGGCTAAAATCAATTTTTCCTCTACCTCTTTCAATTCCTTAGCCTCAAGAGGTCTAAAAACAGGGTCCCCCAAAACAGGAAAACCTCCCAAAAACATCATATCCTCCAAAGTGATTGTTGCTTCACCCCAAGGAAACACGAATGTATTTGTCTTAGAACACCATCTCTCTGCAATCCCAAATGTCAAATCTTCATTTTTCAACACTTTATACTTGCTGCCCATGATTGCTTCTTTAATACCCACTCTTCTCCACACTGATTCGAAGGTAGACTGCAAGGAATCCACCCAGTGAATCCATTTCCTTGGTGGGTGCTGCCATCCACTGAACCTTACGGTGAGAGGCCAATTTTTTGGTTCAAAGGTAGGTGGCAAAGACATGGAAGATGAAAGAATATCAGAACCTGGTCCTCCATTTGAAGATACAGAGGGTTTAAGAAAGTGAGCGGTTCTTAGAGCTGGCTTGCTATCACCGACCGGGGAAACCATTAGCTCCTCCCTCGATTCCATTATGGTTTCTAATGCTTCAGACATGAGGGCATACAAACGACGAACAAGGTCAACCGCTCAAGCCTAGAGGTTGCTTTTTTTTATAATTATGCAGCTCTTTGATACTGAGGCAACCTCTGGAGCTTCCTGAAAATGATTCTCAATGCTGAACGTAGAATTCAGGAAGCAGCTAAGGGGTTGGGCTACAAGACAACGTGAACGACACTTCCCATTCAGCGTAGAATAGTGAAAAATCAGAATTAGCACCGGCTTCTAGTGAGTTTCCCAATAAAAACCAGAATCAATTGTGTGGTGCCAGGGGATTGATTTTGTATTTACATCTCTTACCCGTCACTGACACGCCTTCGAATAACCTTCACAAAGCAAGCCTCCTCATTTGTGCTGAAATGGAGCCTCCTGTAGTTTGAAAAAACAATAAAAATTCTCATTCATTCGTAACTCAACCCTGTGAGCATCCTAAAATGCTTCTTCATTAAGAGCGGGAAAACAAAATGTTACAGCTGCGCACGAAGGGTTCGCAAATGCTGGGAAGTAAAATGAAGTCTTACCAAATGACAAGCTATATGACTAAATAGCTTATTGAAGTTATAATGCCTCTTTGTCTGATCAAGATTGCCCCCATAACACTGAAAAGTCTTCCCTCTTCATTTGGACTTCTTCTACCTCCTACTTAAGCTTTCCCTCTTCATCGTGCTTTTCTCCACGAAGTGATGTGGCCGTTAGAATACTGAAAATATGAAGCTCCTCTGATTGCACATACTGAGGCTGTTTGTTTTTCCTTCTTGCAAATGACCCCAAATTAGTGGAAATGGAAACAGAAAGAAGATGCTTATATGAGCGCCAGTCGGCCAGGGCGCAGTGGGTGGAGAGGAAGCATGGCGCTTTACGTCAGAGTGAAAATCCAGAGATAGCCTGGTCTTCTCACAAATTTCACCGTAAAAACCAGAAAGTATTTGAGTAAAGGTTGGGGGTAGTTTTGTAATTGAGTCCCTTACCACTACGTCTTCAGCCTTTGCGACTGCCCCGGAGAACACGTTTTATTTGTTTCTGGGGATACTCTGGAAATGGCTCTGACTGCTGAAATTCGGGGCAAATTTTGCAAATTTAAAATTTAAAGTAAGAACTCATTGGGTGAAGTAAAAGCAGTGATTTTTTGGGAGAATTAGGGAAAAAGACGGAGACAAAATAGTACTCTTCCAATTCTTAATATAGGACCTAATTATTAAGTTGATATTGGTTCTAAATATAATACCTATTTATTATATTTATTAATTTTTTTCTAAATTACTTCTATGGATACTCTCTCAACCATAATCAAATAGAAAAAGAAGAGATGAAATTAAGGAAGATGATTATGGTATTTAGAAAAAATATATTTATTTTTTAAATTAACTAACTTATCTAACTTTAATCTAATCAAATTATTTAAATAAGTCTTATAGTAAAGATCGGAGAAGTATTTATTAGGAAGGGTCATAAAAGTCATAATCATTTGAAAGGAGGAAATACTAAAACATAAATTCAAAAATACTAAATTACCCCTAACAAAACCTCCTGAATTATCTCCCACCTTTATAGGATTTAAAAGGGAAAAAAAAAAGAAAACCAAAACTATAACTAATACCAAAACCAGCCATCATCCCCAAGTCCGCATATATCCTTTATAAATTCAACCTTTTTATCATCCTGGTTGGTATTTATATCACCAATATTTCATTTAATTATTAACATAATTATTTATTCATTTTTTATTTATAATTATGTTTCTTTGCCTAAGTTCATATCATCAACACTAATGTCAACTAAAATCTTTTCACTAAAACAAAAAACTAAACTTATTTTATATCTTGTCAGAATTATCTATATAAACTTAAGTGATAAATATAAGAGGAAATATTAAAAGATTTAAGGAAGATGAAAGAAATGATATTTCACTTACAAAAATAACAAGAAGGAATCATGCCCCTGAAAAATTAATCTTTGAGCAAAAAATAGACAAATGTAGAAGATGTTAAATTTTCTACCTAATATATATCGTAATAATTAGTATATTAACGTGTTAAAAAAAGCATTACCCCCCTCCCCAAAAAAACCTCATTATTAGTTGTTTATATTGTGATTTATCATAAATTTTGCTGACTATAACGAATTTTTGGTTGACGATATATTTTTTTTTGCTTATACAGAAGTATTTTCTAAATTCTAAAAGTGGTAATCAAAATTTCACATGAAAGATATATATAGATTATTTTTTTATTTTATTAAAATTATATGTATTTTTATTTTTTAAAAAACTCACGTAATTTTTTCTAAAATAAAAATAAATTATACAAACTTTCTTTGATTTATTTAAAATTACATAAATTTTCATTTTAACTTTTAGACACATGTAACTTTTTTTCTTAACATGTATAATAAGTTATAAAAGAATCACAAGTTTTATTAAAATTGGCTAACTTTTGATTTCAATCGAAATTTGTGCTGATTCTAAAAGTAAAATTCTAATTTTGTAGTAACTGAATAATACAATAGATATTTAAGTAAGTTGTAAAATTTGAGAGAAACTTTGTTTAATTTAACAAAGTTTATAAATTCATAGTGGCTTTAATTTATAACCAGGAGAGAAATAGGGAATGTGGAAGAAAAATTCAGAGGTGTGGTTAGGAGCAATTTAGTAATTTTAAATTTATATGTTAATATCTGGTACTTTTAAATAATTACAATTTTTACATTCTTCTATAATACTTCTCTGATCCTTAATATAGGACCCAATTGTTGAGTTGGTTTTGGTCTTAAATAGAAGACCCATTTATCATATTTATCAATTTTCTTTAAATTACCCATATGAATACTCCCTTAATCATAATCAAGTAGAAGAGAGAGATGGGGTATTAAGAAAGATGATTATGGTGTTTTAGAAAGTGTCACATTTCTTATAATTAACTAACTTACCTAACTTCCTTAATCTAATCAAATTAATTAAATGAGTTTTATATTAAGGATCAGATGAGTAAATATTATCTTTTCTAGGTCATTCTCACTAGTTTTCTCTAATTTTTTTAATTAATAATGATAAGCAATTAACACCTAAGATTTCCATCCCACTGTAGTTTACACCACTAAGCCACAACGTGTACGAGGAGCTAGTTTCCTATATCCACTTTTCACAGCTCTTCTGCTCCGTCTCTTTCCTTTATTACTCCAAAGAGCAGCTTGCCAACCAGTAGCCACATCTTCTCCTTTTTCTTTTTCTCCTTTTTCTTTTTCATATTCATTATTAAATTAAAGAATAAATGGTTGAAATTTTATATTTTATAAAATTTTTGTTATAATATTTTGTAAACTAAAACTGTCCTACTTTTCAATATGCATTTAATTTTAACAGTTTAAGTTCATTTTATATTTATGATAATAATTTTATAAAATATTAAAGGGAAAATCTCATGAAAAGAAGGTTGAAATTATAAAATCCCAAATAAAAAATTTCGACGAAAATGTATTACTATTTATAAGTAAAATGTTGTTGTAAGCCATTAAATTATGAGAACCAAACTTGGTTTAAGATTTAATAATTTCACCTTCTTTTTTTTTTTTTTGAATTCTCCCAATATTTGATTTGAACATTCATATTTTTTTTCATTTAGAAAATTAGCAACATTTTTATCAAAATACTATAAACAGTAAAAATAATTGTCCAAATTATATACTGTGACAACTATTTATTGAGATACTCAATCTTAAAAAATCGGTTTACATCCTTGATTCACACCCTAAAGAGGTCGGCTCTTTTTCTTTCATTTTCAGAGCAAATTACAACTGAGTACCCCTATTTTGTTAGCTTTTTTTTGCCTGCTGCCACGCTTTTAGAACTTTGAAAAAAATTATAATTAAAGACCCTACTTCTTAGGAGAGAGTTATAAGCAAGTCCCAAAAAAATTACTAACAAATCCCAAACAATTTAATAGCTTATAAAATCAAATTTCAGAGTAGAAAATGACAACCTTCAGGACTTTTTTATAATTTATTTTTTTTAGACCTCATTGTAATTTTCCCATTTCTTTGCATCTACTCCTTTCCTCCTTTTATTTTACATCTCCTTCTAAATAGAAAAAATATGAGGAAAAATTACTTTTTATCTTAATACTTAAATTTAAGAAAATTAATTAATTAATTAAATGCTTATAAAAATTTATAGATCTTTCCTAATTTATACAAACGTGCAGATATTTAATTATAAAATATAAACTTGTTAATTTCTAGGGAAAATGACCCAAAAATACCTTTTGAAATTTAAAAGATAAATAGGTCACGTAAATAAGTGAAAGAACTAAATGGGCATGAGGTAGGAATCTGGGATTTGTAAAGTTTGGTAAAAAGACTAAACTACCACTGAAATAAAATGAAAAGCATCAACAAGTTTCGCAAAGTGATTGACAACTTTCAGATTGAATTTGACTATTTTGATAACGTGTTTTGTAATATGTTATTAGCTATTTATAAACTAGGTGAAATTTAGGGGATTGAGTTAAACAAAATTAATAAACATATAACCTAACTGATCATTTACGAAATGAAAGTACCCATTTCTATAATATATTTCACAACATCTCATTAGCCTTTTCCAAACAATTTTACTAAATATGTAGCATGATTGACAACTTGTGAAATGAATTTGCCCGTCTCCATGACATATTTTGCAACATGTTATTAGCCATTTCTAGACAATTTTACTAAATATGTAATATGACTTACAACTTGCAAAATGAAATTTACTATTCCATAATGTGCTTTGCAACCTGTTATTAGCAATTTCTAGATAATTTTACTAAACATATAATGTGGTTGACAACTTGCGAAATGAAATTGATTATCTCCATAATGCATTTTGCAACTTGTTATTAGTCATTTTCAAATAATTTTACTAAATGTGTATCATGATCAACAACTTATGAAATGTATATGACCATTTCTGTAACATGTCTTCCAACATGTTATTGGTC